GCTGTACGGTCTACACATCTTTAAAAGAAAGCCTCTAGAAGGTACCATCTAGAAAGCTTGTGCGTAGCGTATGGCGCGTGTTTTCCTCGCTTTCTCAGGCGACGCACACGCCCGTGCCGGCCTGTGGAGCAGCACACGCTGGGCTGTTGCTTGGATCGCCTTCATGCGCGCTCTGCTTTGGGTGATGACAACTGACCATTTTGCTCCTGACGCTTTTGTTTCTCTTCTGCTCCCGAGCAAGCGCGTCTCCGGTCGCCACGAGTGCTGGGCATTGAGTGCTACGGCGGTAGTTTGTAAGCGGCTATTTGTATTTTGCTCGTGAGCGCGCGTGCTGGCGGCATCGGGTACTACAATCTTTCTATTCGTAGTTCTTGGCTTAAAATAAACGTTTTCTACCTACCTAAAATGTCATCAGTGATCACCCTAAGTAAAGTGCACACGAAAAAAAGAATCCAGACAGACGATGCGCTACAGAAAGAGGTCCTGCAGTGGCTCCAGCAGCGGCCCAGTTCTTTCTACGCCAAAGGCATCAGGGGGCTGCCGAAACGATGCATGTGGTGCTTGGGCACTCACGGGAAATATTTTGTAAAGCTGACTTAGTTGGATGCGTGTCGAATTTTCCATTTCCTCTGTAGGAATAAAAGATCTGCTTAATGAGAAGCCAGAATTTTTTTACGTGCTAGTGGTCTTCAAGTAAAGCTTTCTGAAACGCAAATTTTATGTCTATGATTACAAAGACAAATAATCATTGACACACAAAATCTTCGTACACAAAATGTTCATTTGTTCCGTAGTCATCACCAAAAGTAATTCTTACCATGTAAAAAAAAAAATAATTAAAGGGTAAGGTTCAACAAAGGACCCAGTTGAGCCAACAGACCAGTGCCAGCACATAATAGGCTAGTAGTACCGTGGCCCAATTTTTTAATGATATCAAGCGAGCGTCGACCGCGGGACGGCCAGTGCCGCGGAAAAATGCGGCGTCATGGGAGAGGTTAAGCGCGTGCGCACGAAGCCCTTTCTGGTGGCAGCGTCGTCTGCTAGGCTATTCCGGTGACCGCTCACAGCCCCTGCTCCGTAGCAAAGGAGCATTCACTTCTTACTCATTTTTTTTTTCAAAAACCTACATAGCTTCCTTTTAATGATACAAACTCCCTTTTAGAGGCAGTCAGATGAAACAACCTCGGTTTCAGTGAAGATAATAAGTAAGCTGCATGTCTTATGCCTTGAGGAAAGTCATAGCAGTCACGCACGGTCACACATGTAATGCAGCCAAAATCTATCAAAAATGATATCCGGCTTAATGGTTACATATCTCACGTGCGCACTAAATAAACACGAATCCAGTCCTCAGCTCGGTTACGGCGCTAACGCTTGCAGTTCTAAGCACGCAGTGCTGTCTAGATCCGAGCGAGCCCAAGGCAAAACGATAACTTGCTAACAATGTAGCGCTGCGCATCGAAACTTACTACCCAACTCGCTGAAACACCACCACCACCACCACTCCGATCTACTCTGATCCCGCCACTCTGTGGATGTCCCCCGAACTATTAACTAAGAAAAAAAACTCATAAATTGAATGAAATATTCAATTTATATGAATAACCTGCCGTGGATCCTTCAAAGCATGCAAAGTAAACCAAGAGCACAACAGTCCCCCATTGAAAATCCGCGAGAAACCCCTCCCCGTCAGTTTAGCCAGTCGCCCACCGGGAGGAAAGTTCGCGGTGCTCCACATAGATGGCGCCACAGAAAGAAAAAAGCTAGGGATAAAACCGAGGGAGGACGCAATCTGATCGCTTATTTGGCTCTTGTTTCCCCACTTGCCTATCTTACACCCTGGTTGTGGGTCACCTCGTAGTAGAAGTGTGCCACGAAAATTGAGAAGTTTCAAAATACCAAAATATTTGTTTCGGCATTTTTAAACTATCGCAGATTGAACCTTTCCTGTGCGCAGTTTGTTTATCACTTATCTAGAGCGGTGTTCCGCGTTCGGGAGACTCCTGCCATTACGAAGCTTTCCCGCAAAGGACAGGACTGCTTTCGAAAGCTGAACATAATCTAATAAATTCGGAAATCAAAGATTAAAAAATTGCCTAAGCCGATTTTAAAAGGCACGACTTGAGACAAATCACAACCACCAATGCACACGACTTACCACAGTATCGCGATTTACAATACCATAGCGATTTTTCTTGTAAACTTTTACCACAGGGTAGAGGCGAATGTGCAAGCACAGTCCCTCTCTCGAAGGTTGCTTCTTCCCAAGCACGCGGGTGTGCTGCAGCGAAGCGAGATTGTAAAGTTTACCGTCGTGGGCGAACTTCCTCCACACAGTTCGAAGCCCAACTGACAAGTTTCGTCAATGTTTTATGCAATGATCGAACCGGATAGTACGGTATTTGAAGCAATATTGAGCTCATCAAGATTTGAACAGGCCTACCGCAACATGAAATTAAGGGGTCCGACAAGGTCCTGAACGAGTCATTGGTATTACAATCAGAAAGAAATAAGATTTCTCACATTTTGAAAAATTATGTTAAATAAGCCTCAGCGGGCGTCTGCTTTCTGCTGTAGACGAGAAATTTAGCCAGTGAAGTACCACTGCCAGCCTGGGATCTTCAATGGGCAACATCCTGTGGTGATACACGACCGCACGCCGGTGCCAAGCTCATCCAAATAGAAACGGGTAGGGGAGTGGATTGGACCCATGGTCCCCAGGTTCCATACTGCAAGTTTACGGCCCACATGCTCCGAGCTACATCACGTTTTTGGTGAAATGCAACACAGAGTACGGGGGTAACCGCTTGGCAGAGACCTTCGTCCGACAGTTGAGAACCAATTTAACGCAGCAAGCACATGGACAATCTTGAGGCAGAGCAGGTCGGCCGCAAAAAGTGACAAAGACAAGGTACGAATGAACAAACATTTAATTGCGAATCTGTACAGTAAAAGTGAAGAACGACAGTTCCGAGACTGCCTAATAATTTGCAAGGGTCATATACCCGCACGAGACTTATGAAAAAGGTACCCCGAAAAAGTAACACTTTGAACAAAAGCGAGGTCAATGTAGGACGGGGACACGTGAAGGCTGGGCGGAGAGGCACTTTTTTGTTTTTGAGGAGCGCAAACACGTCTTGCGAGACTAAAAATATTGAATACTCTGGGAAACTCTGATAATATTTGCAACTTCATGTAGCGGGTTCATGCACGGTTAAACAAGACTCAACTACACGCTAGGGTGAGGCATGGCAGTGGACACTGGCACCATAGGTTTAGCTTTCCATTAAAAAAATGCTACCCACAGAAAAAATACCAGGAAGCACATTTTGACACGAACGAGTTTGGAAGTAGTGAACACTTTCACTGGGATCCAAGACAAAGGAAAAAAGCGCTTGCAGAGGCTATACAACTAAACAAAGACAAACCCAACACAAGAGATGAGGTCTTACTCTACACCTTCGAAGCATGCACTGCAATGATGGATTGCAGTGCATGCTACGAGAAATCCCAGCCAATACAGCACTGCATTTTCTCCGATGGCTCGTAGCAGCTGCTGTGGTCCACCTCAAGTTGGAAAGGAGAAAAACTGCACATTCCATGTCAAACAGAGAAACTAAATGGGGCTCTACGTCCAACAGTCGAAAAAGGTTTCTGTTGAAGGACTTCGACAGTTACGTTGTATTAAGTAGCTTGTAGAAAATCTAGCGGGCAAAACATCGAGCAGTTCACACAGAGTGTAACCAGAAACTTTGGCAAAAAACAATTAGGATCTAAACTCACTGCCATGATTGCGGAGGAGGTGAAATGGTATTTGTGTCGGCAGTGCAATTACCTTGGCAATTATTAACATCAACGACTGCGTACAAGTGTGCACACCCGAGAACACTGCAACTGCGAAAATCGCGAGTGGAGGGAAATGATTGACAAGATCCATATTTCCCTGACAAAGAAAATCTAGAGACTAACCCCAAACAACACGTTAGCCTTGCCTGCGATGTTTTTGATTAACATACACCATTCAACAACCAGTGCAACCACTAAACTGTCCAAACGCAGAAATTTCAGCTGGGCAGCTTACAAACCAAGCATAAATATGGTGCTCCGATGTAACACACAATAAATTCAAACAAAATTGTGAAAAAAAGGTAATCTTTTTTGTTTGCGAGGTCAAACAAACAGACATTTCCGAAGACAACAATCAAAGTCAAAACATCCATAATCAAGTGCTCCAAAACACTGCCCACATTCCAATAAACTGCAGGACAAAGTCGCGTGTGCCGTAGAACAAATTAACCCCCGTGTCGCCCACGTAAAAAAAAAAGCAACGTGCTTTTTTGGTAAAAAGCACTTCACAGGTACAGTTGGCAAACTAAGAAATATGGTTCACAAGGTACTTATGTTGATCTTGATACGACCTGCGCTTACAATTGCAACACACCGGAGTCGACTTGCCAAAAAACTGGCCAAAAATTCTTAGCGAAACCAGAGCTTCAGAAACTGCTGCCAGGGCTGCTGAATGATGTCCTCCCGAAACCTATCGCAGTGATGTTGCAGCTACCCCCTTTTTCTAAAGCGATTAAGGTTTAAAAACTGGAGGTTTTATCTCAAACACAGGAAAAAAGTTTGGAAAGACCATAGCAAACACCACGCAAGGTTTGCTGCAAGTAATGTGGTTCCCCTGTCCACAAAACTAAACGAACAAGCACTACACTACGAAGAAGACAGCACTTTAATATAACATGACGTAGGTTACATGCGTCATGAAACGACAGCAACAAAAGCACGCACACAAAGGGGTTAGAATATGAAGTTAACAGGTTACAGAAATGCTTTAGACAGGTAATGTGGGGACACGTTAAGCTATTTTTTTTTCTTTCTTTCGTTCTAAGGATAAAACAACGGCAGTCACAAACAGATGGGTTAAGAGAGAAGTACAGAGAAAGGAAAAAGGAAAATAACCAATAAGATAAATGGCACTAAGGTTCCGCCACTCTAATGACTTTTTCATTTTTTTCTTGCTTCTTTACATCACGCAGCAGCAGTTGGGGTCGTTGGAATCCTGCAAAGGCCGCAAAAAGCAAACGTCAATGTGTGAAAAAAAAACTCACGTAACCTATTTTTACGACAGACTGCCATGACTAGAGTTCCTCGGTATTCCTGGGATGGTGGCAGTATATAACCGGAAGCAAAGCGCCGGCAGAACATGGGCCAAAGTAACACCTACCGACAAGAAATGCAAGCTCTCATGCATATTAGAGCAATCAAAAAGTTTAAAACATGTTGCTATGCACTATGTCCAACATCGCTGCACCAACACCAACACCATAGCCACTCGCAGCCCGAGAAATGCAGAATATGGCTTATTCAAAGCTTTCGCAAAAGCAAAATCTTGAAGACAAAAAAAAGACGCATCTGCTCTACGTAATGCAGCTAACCCTCATTTGACGATGAGGGTCGGGTATGACAGGCCCCACAAAGTTCGTGAATTTCACGGCGTGCAACGAGCCTTCGCAACACCAATGCGTTTTCACAACAAGGACAACCCTAACCGACCGATCTCTCCAAGTGTTCGGCACATGCGCGACGCCGTCAGAACTTTAGTTGGCGGGAGGCAGACGGCGGTGCAGGGGAGGGCTCGCGCCGTCTCGACGCTGCGCACGGGCAGAGTTCCGGAGAAGCTGTCGTCTGTGCTGACAAAGTTCACTCGATGCAGTGAAGTCGTACTGTCCGGCCAGATCGGTCTATTACAGTAAAAGCTCGTTAATCCGAATTTCGAGGGGGCTGCTGAAACAGTCCGAACGATACAAACTTCCAATTAATAAAAGTCGACGAAGAGTAAAGAGCCCCGTCCGGCGTTCGGGAGACTAGAATGCTCTCAACCGCCAGAGGCGTGCAAGTCCGCTGCTGCGGAGACCGAAATGCCAGTTTAGACAGCACGAACCAAAATAATCAAGGCCTGCCAACAGCCTCCTTGGATTAAGTCCACGCAAAGTTATCGCGCCCGGATAGCGCCCGCTCGGCAACTAGACCCAAACAATAGCTCGCTGCAACGTCGAAATACTAGCACATGGGCTAAAGTTGAGGCTTGGGCGAGTTGGTACATACTTCGGAAATTAAAAACAGCGCGGAAAGACGAGGACCAGACAAAGAAGTGACACGGACGTAGCGCTGCGTCCGTGTCACTTCTTTGTCTGGTCCTCGTCTTTCCGCGCTGTTTTTAATTTCCGTAGCACATGGGCTTTGAACACTATAGGTGGTGTTGCTTTATTCCTCCAAAACTGGGCGTATCAAACATTCTAAACTTGATGAACCCCTATTGGTTCTGGCATTAAAGGGGCGCGAAACCACTTCCTACGGTAGTCTAGGTGCCAATTCAATCTACAAGCAGTAAACTTACTTAAAATAAATTACATTTATGTGTAGCAGATTAAACAAAATTAAAATAGGTATCAAAGGTCAATTATCTCAGAACTATCACACGCCGGAGGGCACAGTCGGAAAAAAATAAGCTCCTGTCCGACGGCGGCCTCTGGTGTTGGTGATAGTTCCAGGGTTATCAACCTTTAATACCGATCTCATTAGAGGAATCGCCACGCATAAATGTGATGTTTGGTTTCTTAGCACGCTTAGAGCCCATAGATTGAGGTAGTGGTCATAGACTATCGCGGAACATGATTTAGTGCCCCTGGAATGCGATGAAGCAGTAAACAAGCCTACAATGTAAACAATACATATATAAGCGAGCGTTCACCTCATTGTCACGCGTCAATTAGTTGCTTAGTTCTGCCAAAACAGGTCTTAAAATGGAGAACAACTACCTGGCGCGCTTTCACGTGCTGTACCAACAAAGGGTATCTGTCACGCCCCTGTGGAGAATTGAGGATTAATTTCGATCACCGGGAGAAGCTTTCAAAATGGAACCACCCCGACCGGAATTCAAACTTGCTGGGGCACTCTCGGCAAACCCTCCCGGAACCCAGTTTAAATATATATATGCTCTTAGAAAAAGTTTCCAATTGTTTTAATTAATTTTTCTTTCCTGCATAGATTAAGAAGTCATGCCCCATTCAAGAAACCGAAGGAAAGAAGAGGTACTCACGTGCTCTTGGAAAAGGGGCTCGCGCCCCGTCGAATATCCTCCCGCGCCGGACGACCTTTCCGAGAGGCGCCTGAACTGATGCCGCCGGTTTTCCCGAAACGCCACCTGGGGGCGCAACGAAAGTGAGCATCAACTCGTCAGCCGTAACATGCCGCAGAAGCGCTAGAGTTCCGGTTACACTGCTAATTCATGATAAAAAATAGACTTTGCAAACAATGCACTGCCTCGTCACGTGGGTCATACAAAAATCGTCTGCAGAAACGTTCGAAGCATGCATATGTGTTAAAGGTGCTTCGAATGTGACCGAGGCCTGCGTGCAGGTAATTTTCAAAATGTGTGCAGCGGAGTGTGTCATTCGTACCGTGCGCGAGCAACGGGACTGCGGCCGAGAGCTTCAATGCGGCCGAGAGCTTCAATGCGGCCGAGAGCTTCAATGCGGCCGAGAGCTTCAATGCGGCCGAGAGCTTCAATGCGGCCGAGAGCTTCAATGCGGCCGAGAGCTTCAATGCGGCCGAGAGCTTCAATGCGGCCGAGAGCTTCAATGCGGCCGAGAGCTTCAATGCGGCCGAGAGCTTCAATGCGGCCGAGAGCTTCAATGCGGCCGAGAGCTTCAATGCGGCCGAGAGCTTCAATGCGGCCGAGAGCTTCAATGCGGCCGAGAGCTTCAATGCGGCCGAGAGCTTCAATGCGGCCGAGAGCTTCAATGCGGCCGAGAGCTTCAACATGACAACATACGAAATTTGAGGGTTATTTCCATAGGATTACCGCAGCAAAGAAGCCGCTCCGCAAGTTGACCGCCGCATGTGTATGACCGTGAGTACACCTACGAAAGCTCATCCCCTAAATGCAGAATCGCGTGCACAGGTGCTGACATCGACGTTTCTTTAGAACTATAGCAGTTTTCTTTGCAGCGTTTCACTTTGCTGGAACATAAACTAGGTTTGTACTGCAAGTGCTGGGAAGTATTCAATACAGGGTGTCTAGGAAATTATTTTGAAATTTCTTGACTTTTTCAAGTTTTCCCAGACAAATTTAGGTGAAATTTGCTGACCACTATAGAGGCGATTAAATATATAGGACCATTACAACACAAGGTATTGAGCATTGAGCAGGGTGAGGATCATTTTGCATGGGCTTAATCCAACCCTCATATTAAAAAATATTTGGGTTCGTCCTGTCTGGAATAAATGAGCCCTTTCTTGCCGCGGACATCGTCAGTGAAGAGCCCACTTCCAGAAATACGATGAAAACACGATGCTCAACCACACACGCCTTGTTACTAACAGAATGGCAGCACGGCCGCCAAATGGACACTTTTGGATACCTCCGGCTTGGATTATATTGGGGTCTGTGGCTTTCCCATTTGTTACTAAATCGAGTAACTCCAACTGGACTTAGCCTAGTTTCGTGCCCTCAATATAAGCCAACCCAATCCAAGGCTTCGACTGGGTTTGACGGCTGTTCCCTTTGCATCGGGTAGCACACTCTACATCGGGTGAGCAGAGACCGTGCTCCGCTCAAAGCAGACTTTATTGCCCATTTCTCTACACCCAAGTCTTCAAGTCTGCTCAGGGCACTCAATGGCGTTTCCGGCTCGTTTTCCTTGACTGGGCTCGATTTTTTTACAGCATTCCTAACAATTCCCCGAGTTGTCCTGGTAATTAAAACTTCCCTGACAATTCCCGGTTTTCCCAGTCGCTAGACTACATGTGAATATAACTTTACTGTGCAATACCTGAAATTGTACAGGGAGATTTTTTTTTGTTTTGGGAACAAATTTTATTAAAACTAAAGTGGCACGACTCTCGATCAATAATGCTACATGCACCATACACCATAGCATGTATGATGTATTATGCAACGACACGATGGTTAGGATTTATGGATGTGTAAATTGAGTCCATCGGATGGATGGATAAATGGACAGATACGGCTGAACCAAGGAATCTGGCAGCAGCTTGCGCCACCTGGTATATGAAATAGCCAAGGTTGTCGACAGAGTTCACTTTCTGCTAAATCTAGCGCCACCGTGATTTTTTGCAGAGCGTAGCGTAGTTAGTCAGTTTTACGCTTTTGGTGCCGCCAGGCGCAGGAAATTTGAATGTATCAAAATGGCACAATTGGTGCAGCTGTCCCGCCCCTGCAAATAGAGCCCAGGGACAACTAGAAAAGTTTTAAAGCACTATATGGAGATAGACAGAATCACAGTAAGTATCAGCCCCTCAGAAGAGCAACCAGACACGGCAATAGAAATGTCGAGAAGAGCTCATTGTAAAAGCCACTTCTGAACTACATGCCAACTGAAGAAAGACACAGCATGAACACGTGCAAATGGTTATTATTGGTGTCGAATCAAAGATAAATCAAGCAGTGTTCACCAAAAAAGGACACAATACCACAATTCAAAGGGAAAAACAAAGCTTGTACCCTTTAATCTCACACATCGATGATATCTTACATGCAAGTGTATTATGAATAACTATTTTCCCTTCTGGTACCGTGAAACCCTTTATTTTCGCGGCCCTGACTTTTCGAAAATTGGACTGCGGGGTCATATTCGCGACCATTAAATTTCACGATTTCTTAAGGCTGGAATTTACCTATAGAAACCACTAAACTAAAACCACTAAAACCAATTTTACAATTCACGTATTTCGCAAAAATTAGAGGCTCCCAAACATTAAGGGTTTAAAAGTATATGAATGACAAGGCAAAAAGCTGCTTGACAGGTTTTCACACCAAATCAACGTGCGGGCAATACATAGGCTTTTCTAAAGAAAGCTCTAGATGACTTGATTTAATTTTAACTTTACTGGCCTGTTTTCGAACAGATGGAGGAGGCCTATCAAAGGTGGTAACTCAACGAGCAACTTCACAAGAAAATTACACCTATAGTGCAGCCCATCTACAATGGCAAAACACTAAAGCGAAGGCGCTCACCTCCTCGCCATCAGCGCTGAGCAAGGCTGTGCGCATCTGTTCAACGTGGGGCCACTGCTGGTTGCGCATGACCAGGTCCGACGGAGGGCTGTGTGCTGCACCGGCGTCGGAGCTCCATACCTGCACAGCATCCCAACTTCGGATGAGTCGTGGTCATCTCACCGCAAAGGAGGTATACTAAAGCAAGAATGTGGACAAGCTGGTTGAAAGAGAAGCTAAAAACAGTTATTGAAAAGAAGAAAAACAAAAAAACTGAATGTTTTAATGTGGCATTTTAAAAGTTATTTCTAAGTTTTCTTTCGATCTTATTACTAGGAGTGTCAAAATCGCTAATTAAAATTTCGACGTAGCCCTGCCCGTCGTTGCATGCCGAGAGCAGGAGAGCGTGAAGGCGGATAGAAAAAATTCAGGAATCCCGCGCTGATCCACAGTAGAGTCGCAGCGACAGCCACGAAACGACATGGCGAAGTTGTCGGGCACCGGCGTTGCGTTCACACACCGTGGGGTGCGTGAACAAAAGCGTACAAAACGAAATAGGCATACGATTAGTTTGTTTTGAAAAACGCTCGTATCCTTTTGTTCCGGATAGCGTAAAATCGCTTTCCCCTGCACGAGCTCTTGGCATTGACAGTGCTACAACGGCCTTCTGTTATCGGCTATTTTTTTCTTTTCCAGAGAGCGCGTGCGGTGGGTGCTACAAAAGCCTCCGGTATAGAGCGGGTTGTTGATGCTGTGGCATCAACAACTCCGCACGGAGCGAACCCGGGTTTGATGCCCGTAGGCGGTGAGCAATCTTTTTGAAGATCTTGCAACACCGGTGACGGACGTCCTACATTGCCATAAACAACGGACGTTATTTCAAGTGGTGGCAAGTAACAGTTCTCGCTGCGAGACTAACAAAAGTGACGTCATCGCTCAAACGATTCTGCTCGGCACTGTGCGGGGAGGACGACTATAACGTCGCAATGCCTTCGACGGATAACAGCTGGCGGCAAGGCTCGCCGCATGCCCTTTGGCAATCGCTGCACACACATTTCAAAATACACGAGGTTTACGTTTACTTCAGTCCAAAAGCGCGATGACTGAATTCATGGGACAAAAAGCTATAGTAGAAGACCGCTCGAAACTGTTTTTTTAAGGCGCTTCAGCTTTTTTGAGAAGGGCATAATAAATCCTGGTGCGAGGGAAAGGACGGACAAAGGACACACTAAACTCCCAAGTTTTTTGTTTGTCCTTCGTCCGGTCTTCCTTGGCCAGTCTTCCCCTCGCCCTGGGATTTACGGTGTCTGCCTAGTCTGTTTACTAGGACGAAAAAAATGTTATGGTAGGGTTTCTATTGATACTTCAATTTCCACTACCAGCACTATGGGCTTATGATACAAAGCAAAGTAGCAATTTGCTATAGGAATAGCTACACATACCAAACAGATTTTACTTTTCTCGACCCAGGCCAATATCAAGCAGGCACACGCATAAAGAATTGCTCAAGCTCAAAGCCAATAGCGGTTTGGGCAGAATAATTTCTAACCGATTATCGGATAGTTTCTTCGAGCCATTTACTAGTGATGGACCGAACCTGCTCAACTTCAGATTCGGCAAAGTTCGGCAAAGATTCGGCAAAACTTCGGAAAATGTCTGCGCACGCGCGAGAACGCGACGGAGCCTTGGATTGCAAATGGACGCTGTGCAGTCGTGCGGTTACCATCGTGCAGTGTAGTACAACCAGCGGTTACGCCGCGGTGTGGGGTAGGCAACACGGTAACTGTGCGTTTGTGACCGAGTGTGGTCCTCTTCAATATTTTCTGCCTCAAGAATAGAAGATCGACCAGTAATTTACGCAGTCCACTGCGCAAGTGACGAATGATGCCGTGCATTCTGAAACATAAAGACATTGTCCCACAATTACTTTAAAGCACTCCTCGCGATTATAACAATTCTTTTTTCGGCTCAGGATTAGTGTGTTGCAAAACAAAATATTGCTTCTTCCAGTAGTGTTATTTCGCAATTTTCATGTATCTGCATAAAACTAAACACAGAACTATAATGCTCGACGTTGCACATCTGACATTCACTCTTCCCATCTTCCGAAACGTTCGTGTATTCCTAAACACCAGAAACCGGTATTTTAAAGGTTAAAAACGAGACGTTGTGAATATGGGACGCACACTTTCATGCAAAGCCGACTCCAAGTGACTCAGCAACCGTTGCATTCGTTTTCCCGCACAAAACGGTGGCTCCCAGAGAAAGCAAGAACGCAGCGTTATTGCCTTCATTTTAGCAATGTGCACACACACGCCGGCCTGCGCTGATGATACCTTAAAACCGAAACTCGTAGCGTGATTCGTGACTGCGCCACGCTCGCTTCTACCCAACCTTCCTGTCACGCCACTCCTGCAATGAGTCACTAAAATTGCCAGTAAACACACAAATACAACATGTAATGCATATATGCCCAGTTGTTACTAAATAAGATGACATTCTACAAGATAATTGTATCGGTGTCGTTTTTAAGTTAAGAAAAAAAAACTTTTTTTGCCAAGAAAAACTAAATATCAACGCTAAGCCTAATAACAATGTATCGAATCGAAAATTCGGCACGGAACTTTCGATTCGGCAAACGTTTGGCCCATCACTACCTTTTACTACCGTTTTACCATGCTTAAACGAAAATTCAGCTGAACTCGTGAAGGTTGCTCCCTACCTTCACTTGTCCCCTTCTAAGCTTTGTTAGTTTTAATGTAACTATATCCGTGAACCATGGCCTCAGAAAGTCCAATGCCGACATGGGGGTGGCAAAGGAAAACGACAGATTTGACGCAAAATGAAACCCAAAGAGACGCCCAGCCATCCTCACCGAGCGAATTTATAAATCAGCTCGATAGACACAAATATTCTTTGTTTATTCTCGATCCTCCACAAAAATAAATAAATAAATAAACACGATTAATAAAAGCAGTATGTCAGGACTGTAATGCCTGCGCTCCCCACCGAACATCCGCGTACAGCGGAAAACCGATGCCCGCGAGCTTCGCGGGTACTGCTTTTCCGCAGCACACGGGTGCTTGGCAAGGAGTGCCCTCAACGGGGCCAGGCCCACTCCCGATGAACGAATGGCACGAATTAAGCGAAAGCTCCACTTGAATTAAGCAGCTTAAAAATGCATCCAAAACATAGCGGGAAAAGCAAAATATTTAAATTTGTCCGAAATAAAAGTGAGTACGAAACTTTTTAGCTTGAATTATCGCGAGACCACTGTATGCACCGTTTCACTGCGAGTCCTACCACAGCCGACGCGACGATTCGACGAAGAGAATCGAGCAGAGCCAAAACCGCGCCGTTACACCGCTCGTCTTCGTGGATACGCCATCACCAACTTAACCAATCGCAAACATAAAAAAAAGGTGGGACCTCGTTGCATCCACTGCACGCGATTGGTGTAGCCGACGATGGCAGATGCGCAAAGGCAACAAGGGCAGGGACGACGCGCTTCGGGCGCTGCTCAACCGACACTGTAAGACGGTAGCGCAGCCTGTGGTCGGACTTAAAGAAAAACTGAGTATATCTTCGAAAAATGTCGCCCATAAAAGAGCAAGCCAGGGGGTATTTACGCCAGTCCCTGTATGAAAGACTAAGTTTGAACTGACGAAAGCCTCGTTCTCTTTTATGAAACAAATGGAACCAGTGCCTTCGACGAAGAAAAACAATTCAAGAACTGCAACGCACCGTGATGGTGGTTACCGGTTGGATGACGTGGGTCCGGTGGAACCGGAAGGTGAACTCATCGTTGCCGGACTTGCGGTCGATCCGCCAGCCACCCAATGGAATCTCCTGAAAAAAAAAAATATATATATCGAAGGCGCACTTGCAAGGATCAGCTAACGCGCGGTTGGACCGTCGCTTACGGGGAGTGGAGCCTGTTCCTTGGAGTCTCGAGCCCGAAAAGGAGAGCATCCCAAATATTTCTCGCAAACCGAGTGGCCAGCTGAGCTGGCAATCGTGTACCGCAATTCGAAAAGCAAAGTCGAGCACCAAATTGGTCTCCGGAAACTTGCACAGGTTTTTATTTCACTTAGAGATGTTAAAATGCTGTGGAATGTACCCCGTCTTCGCAGTTAACCGAGAGTGAAGCGTCTGTTTTCTTTCCACCACCCATACCAGGCTGCTCCAATTTGTCGAGATTCGAGAAAAAACTTTGCCTTGGTGAAGCTAGCTGCGAATGTGTTCAATCGTTGCAGACGTCTGCGAGCAACGCAAACGAAAATAGAAATGGAATTTCAAACACTGAAAGTAAACGACAACACAATCTACAGATAACAATGCCCCTGCTTCTTAGGAGAGGGGCAGGGAAACAGTAGCATAGAGTACGAAAGTACTGCAGCTTGTGCAGCGAAAATTCGTGCCGCAGAGCTCAAGGATCACGTGCTCAATCCACTCTTGTCCGTTCTAATGTGAATGAGCATCATACCGGCGTGCAGCCTTGCGTCACTACTGCGTGATGCACGTTAAAAAAAACCAGGCTGGTGGCCGTACTGCACTGGCTAAATTTCCTGTCTACGGAGCGACTACTTCCCACTGTATAGACATACGAACACGTCGACTACTTTAGCTTGGGAAAGAATGCAGAAGAAATCAACTATGTGTTAAACTTTGTTTTACCTGAAGTCCTAATGTCGCTATGCCACGAGCCAATAGGGTATATCAAGCGGCTTCAAGTACATAGCGCGACGATATTCGAGCGCCTATTTTATTGTCGAAATGTCAACCACGTTTGTGCCAGACCAGAGACACCAATTTTTTGCTCTTAAAGCACCAACATATTATTCGAGAAAAATTAAACCGAATGTCGTCACGTCACTCTGAAATTAAAAGCAGCGCCGCTCCGCGAAAGTACTGAGGCAAGCTACAAGCGCACAAATCCTGTCAAACTTTGCTGAACCGGATTTTCCTTTACTCTCGCACCTATGCAACTCCTGCGGGGGCAACTAAAAGGATCAGGTTTGTAACGAGCCTCTCTGCGTTAGTGATGTCGCGTTTTTCTTGACGGCGTGTTTGCGAGTTTCGCCACTTGTGGTGGCAACGGATCACAACCTGACTGTTTCAGTTGCCCCGCTCTCCACAGGCGTTGAATGGGCACGGAAGAACAAGGAAACCCGGATTGGTCCTGTTTGACAGGGCTCGCGTCATGGTGCGAGCCCCGTCGTTTTGGCCCTATGTTTTGGCGTCTTTTCGAGCAAACAATTGGCGCCTCCGCGGTGTCGCCATCAAATGTGCTGTGACATCACACTTCCGAGTATGTCCGCTTGAGTTTGTTTCAGCCTTTGGTTGTGTTCCGACATCCGACAAGACAGTGTTAGGCTTTGTGCAATTCAAACATGATTTCCCTTTCATGTCACAGGCTTCCAAGCATTGGCCTTACAGCTCCTAGATAACAAGGCTGCAGTTATGAATTCTAAACGCCGCCTAAACAGGCAACACGGGGCATTGATTGATCAAGTGCCACATCAGCGTCTGACGAAGGCTTGTCTTTAATCGACGAGAACTTGACCGTCGGCTAAACGCCGTCGCAGCACTTAGGTCCACCCTATGCCCCCGCGTTTGCCCCTTCAGAAGACGTCGAAAATTCGGCACCACGGCCTTACCCAGGAGACGTCTAGGGGGCTTTAGATGGCAGAAGAGGGCGACGTTTACCAACCTTCGTGCCCTTGTTCTTTACGATGACGTATTTTCCGTCTGGCCAGTGGTCCGAGATCTCCAGGTCCCCCTGGGCGGATGCGGAGACCTGGACGTCGAAGTTTGACTGCTCCTCCCGGTGGGAGAAGGTCCGCCTGCGCTTGGTGCCTCGGAGCAGCGGACTGGTGTACATCTCAGCCCCGCTGGTAGATGCGCCTGAGAGGGACGAAATATCGTTCGCATCTCGCACGGTGTATCGCGTGTGTGCGGCACGGTTAACGCGTCGCTCGCCTCCATTGCCCGCCCTTGACTGCGCTACAGGACGAGCGAGTCTGACAAAATCCGTCCCTTCGCACGAAAGGGGAGGGCATAAAAGCGAGGAGTCTCATTGCGCACAAGAAAGGAGGCGCAAAAAAAAATTAAAGGCAGCGTCCTCTGTATGGAGTTTGGTTTTGCGCAGTTAATGCGCGCTGAGCAATGTCGTCGGAACCACCACGACAATGCTGCTTTTCTGCAGTTTACTTTTTACGGACGCTAGTGGTCTTTGCGTTTTACAGTTCACGTTGATTTCCCAAATATGTGCCCCCTACACTAGCAGTTTTGACGACAGCACTTTTGATTCTAAGAAAAAAAAAAAAGGAAAACCGGCGATCGCACGTGTGCGCCTACAATCCCGTGCCGGGATCCTCCGTGAAAAGAGCAGACAATGTAATGTGCAAGCCTTGTCTTCTGGGTGGTGGTGGTGCGGTGCCTGGAAAGAGTCTCCGCAAGGGCGATTGAAAAGTGGGAAAAAATAGGGCGATAGGTTAGGCGAGTTTCTTTCGCTGCGACGAGTCGGAGTTGCTCCCAAAGGATCGCCAACATCATTTTTACGCATTGCGTAAAGAGAACCACGACGGGCAAGGTTTCCCTGCTCATTTTGAAGAAGTTCTTTGTGTGTAACAAAGCGACACCAGCAACGTGGCCTTATCGGGACCACCACATTCCAAAGTGGCCGAAGTGCATGGAACCCTTTCCTCTAGATCATTTTTAAGAGTTAATATAATTTTCCACGGCGAAACGTCGCATGCATTTGGGCCGGTTTGGAATGGCTGTTCCCCAAGGGCCCAGATCACTGGCAACGCTCTCAGACAAAGAAGCAAAAAAGCATCAGTTGCAAGGTCCGCACCTCCTTCAGGTTTGTTTCGTACTTGCACAAAGAAAAACACAGACGTATGACATTGTATATACAACAAAAAGTTTACAAGCGCCCTAACGATTGTACTAGCAAAAGCCCGGCCAACCTGTTGTCTGCTCTCATTTTCCGCCCTTCTGTAGCTTTTTTTCTCATTTCACTCGGGATTACTTACTCCAGCGCTTACGCAATTCGCCGCGTTCTGCTCCCATCGCGAACCCCCACCCCGAGATTCTCACATCAACTCTACGGACTCACTGGGCGTAATGTGCAGCCGGGACTCTTCGCCCTCCAGGAGCTTGCGGTACGCCGCAGTCTCGAGGTCCAGAGCCACCTTGATGTCCAGCAGGTCCTGGTACTCCCGCAGCTGGTCCTCGATCTCCGCCCGCAACCGGGAGATCTCTTCCTCCTTGGCCATCAGGGCCCGGCCGTGCCACTCCCGCTCCTGGTCCAGAAGACGCTCCAGGTCTCGCACACGGGCCGTCAGGGACTGGTTCTGCGGCGGGAAGACTCAAGTCACGGTCTCTTCCCAATCTTCCTACCAGGAGTCGTCCTGCGATTCCTGCCCTGGCCTGGGGAGCTTCTCGGTCACAACAGCGTGCAAAGTCCACGACATCATGAAATGGTCATTCACTCTCTCCACCTTAACGTGATGGTCAAGCCGATCCACTTCTCCTCCACACGCTCGAAATGCCGAGAACAAACGAGTGGAAACAAGGTGACTACCAACTAAATCGCATCTCGCACCGTCGATATTGCACTAAAAAAATTATTTCCGCGAAAAAAATGTTCTTCGCAGGCGTGGAATTTTACTTAAAGGAGCTCTGCAACAGTTTCAGTGTTTTGCTTAAATAATTTAGGAGTTGGTGTCTTGACCTGTCTGAAGTAAAGAAGAAAAACCGATTTTGCCTGCATGTCCCAGTTTTTATTTTAAAAATGGACAAAGATTGAGGTTTTCGGCACCTCTCAACTCCTTCACCATCTTCCTAGTCACGTGCGCTGTGACGTCAATGGGGTTTACGCGGGGTTCCGGTGAAGCTTCCTCTTTAGAGCCATCAGTGGGCAGCGATAACCCATCCGCTCGCGACAACGTGACCACGTGCTGGCGGGCGCAGCCAGTGCAACGCGAACAATATGGTGAAAGGAGGAAAGCTTCATCCGGGTCCGGCCATCCCCGTCCGGTTTTGTCCCCCTCCGGCTTCTGGCGGCTGTTCGCGGTAGCAGATGGAGCTGACGGTTTTGTGGACCTAGAATAGATGGCGCCACTAAAACTCCGTATAATAAAAGGATTTGTCGATGATACCGGGTTTTTGGCACATTTATATTCATGTTGAAACAACAAGATTTATAAAAAAAAGTGACTTTATCGAGCAGGTATTCGCACAACTTGCCATCTTTCTAAAAGACACCCCATTCACGTCATGCAACGTGTTTCTCATGGCCACCGCTCGCGGCTGCAGGTAGCGGGATATTTTAATTTTTACCTCTCGATTACGCGGCGGAATCGCAACATTTCGAAGGAAGGAGGTGTGTTTTCTGTTCTTTGTGACAAGATGAACAATGTGAAAAGCAAAAGATGACAATTCTTTCTACGTTAAAATCGTTGCACAAATTCTAAAAAAAAAAAACTATTTTCAGTTGCCCTTTAAGGTAATAAAATTAAATTAAATTTTAACAAAGCATCTCGGCCAGTTGTACACGAGTTCAACTTAAACCAATGAGGTTGGTACTACAAGTGTTGGAAAGAATTGCATTAAACATTATTGCGACATATATCTCCAATCGCACATAGAAAGAAATTTATTTTAGGAAAAAATTTAATTAAAACCGAAGGGGCAAGACTCGGCAACAAATTTTAGATGCTACATTGTATACGTACAATATAAATGTACATGTACAGTCGGGGACAAGAGTCCCCAGGACTCCCGAGCTGCGGCTGTAACGCATCGCTCTGCCATCTGCCGGCGGACCGCCTGGTTTTGAGATCACACAAAAGCGCATGCGCGTCCTACTGTGCCTGCAAGCATGTGTGTTTTGCCGCTTTTCTGCGTCGCGGCGCCTAACTCGGAATCGGGCGCGTGGTACCGCCTCGGAGATAGCGCTCACCGCGCTTACTGACATGGCAACTATGAAGCAGGGCGTCACGGCTGCTCAAGTGAGCGATAAGCCCAGCTGGTTATAAAGCAAGATGCGCTGACACGGCGAAATGCAGCACAATGCCGCAGGCGGTATCTCCAGTTTTGGAATGTGTAGCAGACGCTCGTCAGCCGCAAGCCCTATCTCCGAAGCGGTACCACGCGCCCGATTCCGAGTTAGGCGCCGCGCCGCAGAAAAGCGGAAAAACACACATGCTTGCAGACTCAGTAGGACGCGCATGCGCTTTTGTGTGATCTCAAAACCAGGCGGTCCGCCGGCAGATGGCAGAGCAATGCGTTTCAGTCGCAGCTCGCGCGTCCTGGGGATTTTTGTCCCCGACTGTACAATGTATGACGCAGCAGTACGATGGCTAGGATGTATGATACATCGAATCCATCGGATGGATGGATTGACAGATATGGCTGAACCAAGGAATCGGGTGACGGCCTGCAGCACCTGGCAACGAAATAGCCAAGGTTGTCGACTGAGGTTTCGCCATCCGCTAAACGTAGCGTCGCCGTAATCTTCGGAGCAGCGTGGCACAATTACGGCCGATTTCAGGCTTTTGGCACCGCTAGGCGCAGGAAATTGTGAATGTATCCAAATGGCGCGGCTGTGCCGCCCCTGGGAAGCTTCCGTGAACTGAAGAACTGGAAAGCGACCTGCTGCACAGCAGGAGTCTGCCACATCGACTGCTGCGACACCGCAACGACCGTGGAGGGCGACGAAACTTCTACGAGTCATTGCGTGGAAATCGAGGTCATTTGTTAGGACGTTGTTAAAACACCGGTTGGAGACTTGGTCCAGGCACCGCACCTGAACTATCTTTGAGTACCGAAAATGTTGGGCATCAACTCTAGACTTAGTAACAAGCGCAAACGACTGAGAAGAAAGGGACAGGACGGTGGGCTTACTGACAACTGTCAGTTTAATAGAGCATGTAGGAGGAAACAAGGTGGAAGTGAAAAGGAGAAGAGAAAGATAGAAATAAACTCAGCTGCCACTAAGAGAAAATATTTAGTTGTAATGACATGGATGCCGAGAGCACCATGTCCCATGTCGGCACCCAGAGGAGAAGAAAATGCGCGCTACAGTCCATGCCAGGCGTCATGAGCAGTTTATTCACTGTGCGGCTAGAAAGTCTATCTTGAAGGCAACAGTGAATCAAATGCTCATGACGCCTGGCATGGACTGTAGCGCGCCGACATGGGATATGTTACTCTCAGTATCCATGCCATTCCAATTTTTTTAAAGTATATTCTTAAAAAAATGTTGATTTCGATTTTTAAAGCTAAATATTTTGTCTTAATAGCAGCTCAGAGTTTATTTCTAACTTTCTATTGTTTTTCACTTCCACCTTGTCTTTCTCAACACGCTCTATAATATCGACAGTTCTAAGTGAGCACTCTGTCCTGTCCCCTTCTCTTAGTCATTTGCGCTTGTTAACTCAAAGTCGAGATGTCCAGGCAACTAGTCTCCCCCCCCCCCCCCCCCCATTGATCTTGATCAATTGGGGGGGGGGGGGGGGGGGCTAGTTGGACCTGGTTCCTATGTATGCGCACTGTCGACACTCGACCATTTTGGACGAGCCTAACCCGTCACCCCGGAGTTGTCCCCCAAACTGTTCAGGACGAGTGCAGCTCATCTGAGGCCAGATTCATAAAAAACCTCTTACCTACGACAACTTAGCTACGAAGTTCGTAAAGTTGCGATCATCGTAAGATGAGGCGAGAACTGTATTCACAAACGCGTTCTTAAGTAAGAGGAGGAAAGTTACGACCTCTTACGGAGAAACGATGACTTCCGGTGCTGTTGCTATCGCAACGGCGTCTTCGGCAAAACGAACAACCAATTAGAGAGCTAGGCATAGTTCGGAGCACTTGGATTGTTAATAACAAACACAGGCTAACCACTCGTTGATAGACAGCTCTGTGTATGTCCTGTCCCGTCTGTGTGTAAATGTGTAGTGTTCAAGCTGATTCTCATAAACACGGGAGACCTTTCCACCACCCCTTGTCTGGGGTTCGTGTACGGCAAGTGGTATATCGACGCTAACACGATTTAAACGCTTCGTTGACTGCTACAAACTCGATCGCTACGAAGTCAACACAACTGTCATCGTTGGTAAAAGCCCCGTGCCAGTCGTTTGCAAAGCGACGTAGAAGGAAACAAACCGCCGCGGCGTTTCTCGCGGCCTCGGAAATTCAGGAGCGAGCCGACGTTAAAAAAGATACGTTTGAACTACGAGAGTGTCAGCAAGAGTCACGCAAATACCTCTTCACACTCGGAGCGGACGCATGCGTTTGATCGAAGTGCTGGATTCAGACTGCGTTTCGGTAAGCGCTTCGGGACCGATCTTCTACGATTGCAACTCGATATTGATGTGACACTCGGCAAAGAAAGGTTGGACCGGCATCGCGTAGCTCCCACACACTGATATACAGCTCGACAGTTAAAAATGGCATACTAATAAGGAAGTGTACATACCGTGTTGCGAAGGTAATCCATACGGCGTTTATTTGAGCTCTATACCACACAAAACAAGGAGATAGAATCGAGAAGTCCCTTTTCGACGACAGTGTTCGTCACCGCTGCCTCGGAAAACAAGGTGATCGAGATGACAAGGGGAATCGGCTGACCTCTGAAATTTAGTTCAGCTATCAAACGGGAGGGTCCACAAGGGTCGCGCGGGCATATTCTATTCAGCAAGCCAGCCGGTCGTGGGCAGACGGTCTTGGCCAAGGACCGTCTGAGCAATGCTGCGCCGGAACGGGTCGGAGTGCCTGCTAGGCCTATATATTCTGCCGAGCTCGCTTGGTCGGTGGGATCGTCGCCTTTGTTGCCTTTTCCGGGTGTCTGTGGATCCAGCGTTCATGTTCGTCGTGGTCGGTTTCAAGTACTTCTTCATTTTTTTCTTGCTGCTTGAAGTCGGGACGCGCAAGAAGAGCAGGTAGAAAAATAAATGTCCGTTGGGTCGTCGCGACCGAGCAACTGAGCGACGTTGTCGGCCATGTTAATTTGATCATAGAAAGGGCGTAAGACAGCTTCGGAGCTGTCGTAGGATTTTGTCGTAACCTGCGCAAAAGTTACGACAATTTAGTTTCGAGAATACGGATTTTCTCTCAAATTTGTCGTACGCATTTTTTTCGTCGTAAGTTCGCTTTAAGAATCCGGCCTCTGCTTCACCCGCTGATAACGCTCTCCGCATCTCTACATCGTTGAGTGCAGTACACCTCAGAGCTACAACTATGCAGAGTTTCCAACACAGAATTTGTTTCTGTGTTAGAAACTCTACATGGCTCTAACTCTGAGGTGTAGCGCGCTCAATAAACTCGACGAAAAAAATTTTTGAGAAACTGCTGCGGAGGACTGGCACGCAAATTTCCCCGCTAAATTTATGTGAAGAAATTTTCGACACGCAACATAGATTTCTCCTCCAAATTCAGCAGAGAAACTGAGGTCGCACGATTGTCGTGATTTGACCCGACGTCCATCTTCCCGCCAAACATAGTGTGGAAAGTGATGCCGTGTCGTGCCAATTACCTAACTCAATTTAAAGAAGAATTCAATGCAAAGCGATTTCGATTTCTTTGTGCTAGAAGTTTGCGCTGGATGCAATCTGTGACCCCAGGTCTGTTTGCACAATAGAACCTGCGAAATCTATTCTTAACACCCTAACCCCAACGAATTCTGCACAAAAAGGAAGACGTCCCTGACCTGCCACTCGAGTCCCGAGATCTTGGAGTTGAGTCCCTCGAGGCGCGACTTGTACGCCCGCATCTCCTCCATCTTGCTGGAGCTGTCGCTGGAGCTCAGCTCGAGCAGTCTCTGCAGGTCACGCATCTTGTTCTCGTAGATGTTCTGCGTTTTCTCCCGGTCGAGCTGCATCTGAGACTCGTACAGTTCTCGCAGCTTCATCAGCGTGCCCGCCAGGCGCAGCTCGTAGCCCTCCCTCAGCCGCCCGTCGATCTCCGTGGTCTCCGTCTGCTTGGCCACGCGCACCTCCTGGAGCTCCTGCATTGAGCAATGGCACCCACGCCAGGGCAAGGGAAGGTTTAGGGGGGGGGCGAGGGGGGGGGGGGGGAGGCATGGATGTCGTTCCCTTGAAGGTGTTCTCTGGCATTTTTGTCGTAGTGCCAGATTTGCCTGGAAATTTGGCACATTTATATCCATGTTGAAACAACAAGATTTATAAAAAAAAGTGACTTTTTATCGAGCAGGTATTCGCACAACTTGCCATCTTTCTAAAAGACACCCCATTCACGTCACGCAACGTGTTTCTCATGGCCACCGCTCGCGGCTGCAGGTAGCGGGATATTTTAATTTTTACCTCTCGATTACGCGGCGGAATCGCAACATTTCGAAGGAAGGAGGTGTGTTTTCTGTTCTTTGTGACAAGATGAACAATGTGAAAAGCAAAAGATGCCAATTCTTTCTACGTTAAAATCGTTGCACAAATTCTAAAAGAAAAAAACTATTTTCAGTTGCCCTTTAAGGTAATAAAATTAAATTAAATTTTAACAAAGCATCTCGGCCAGTTGTACACGAGTTCAACTTAAACCAATGAGGTTGGTACTACAAGTGTTGGAAAGAATTGCATTAAACATTAGTGCGACATATATCTCCAATCGCACATAGAAAGAAATTTATTTTAGGAAAAAATTTAATTAAAACCGAAGGGGCAAGACTCGGCAACAAATTTTAGATGCTACATTGTATACGTACAATATAAATGTACATGTACAGTCGGGGACAAGAGTCCCCAGGACTCCCGAGCTGCGGCTGTAACGCATCGCTCTGCCATCTGCCGGCGGACCGCCTGGTTTTGAGATCACACAAAAGCGCATGCGCGTCCTACTGTGCCTGCAAGCATGTGTGTTTTGCCGCTTTTCTGCGTCGCGGCGCCTAACTCGGAATCGGGCGCGTGGTACCGCCTCGGAGATAGCGCTCACCGCGCTTACTGACATGGCAACTATGAAGCAGGGCGTCACGGCTGCTCAAGTGAGCGATAAGCCCAGCTGGTTATAAAGCAAGATGCGCTGACACGGCGAAATGCAGCACAATGCCGCAGGCGGTATCTCCAGTTTTGGAATGTGTAGCAGACGCTCGTCAGCCGCAAGCCCTATCTCCGAAGCGGTACCACGCGCCCGATTCCGAGTTAGGCGCCGCGCCGCAGAAAAGCGGAAAAACACACATGCTTGCAGACTCAGTAGGACGCGCATGCGCTTTTGTGTGATCTCAAAACCAGGCGGTCCGCCGGCAGATGGCAGTGCAATGAGTTTCAGTCGCAGCTCGCGCGTCCTGGGGATTTTTGTCCCCGACTGTACAATGTATGACGCAGCAGTACGATGGCTAGGATGTATGATACATCGAATCCATCGGATGGATGGATTGACAGATATGGCTGAACCAAGGAATCGGGTGACGGCCTGCAGCACCTGGCAACGAAATAGCCAAGGTTGTCGACTGAGGTTTCGCCATCCGCTAAACGTAGCGTCGCCGTAATCTTCGGAGCAGCGTGCAACAATTACGGCCGATTTCAGGCTTTTGGCACCGCCAGGCGCAGGAAATTGTGAATGTATCCAAATGGCGCGGCTGTGCCGCCCCTGGGAAGCTTCCGTGAACTGAAGAACTGGAAAGCGACCTGCTGCACAGCAGGAGTCTGCCACATCGACTGCTGCGACACCGCAACGACCGTGGAGGGCGACGAAACTTCTACGAGTCATTGCGTGGAAATCGAGGTCATTTGTTAGGACGTTGTTAAAACACCGGTTGGAGACTTGGTCCAGGCACCGCACCTGAACTATCTTTGAGTACCGAAAATGTTGGGCATCAACTCTAGACTTAGTAACAAGCGCAAACGACTGAGAAGAAAGGGACAGGACGGTGGGCTTACTGACAACTGTCAGTTTAATAGAGCATGTAGGGGGAAAGAAGGTGGAAGTGAAAAGGAGAAGAGAAAGATAGAAATAAACTCAGCTGTCACTAAGAGAAAATATTTAGTTGTAATGACATGGATGCCGAGAGCACCATATCCCATGTCGGCACCCAGAGGAGAAGAAAATGCGCGCTACAGTCCATGCCAGGCGTCATGAGCAGTTTATTCACTGTGCGGCTAGAAAGTCTATCTTGAAGGCAACAGTGAATCAAATGCTCATGACGCCTGGCATGGACTGTAGCGCGCCGACATGGGATATGTTACTCTCAGTATCCATGCCATTCCAATTTTTTTAAAGTATATTCTTAAAAAAATGTTGATTTCGATTTTTAAAGCTAAATATTTTGTCTTAATAGCAGCTCAGAGTTTATTTCTAACTTTCTATTGTTTTTCACTTCCACCTTGTCTTTCTCAACACGCTCTATAATATCGACAGTTCTAAGTGAGCACTCTGTCCTGTCCCCTTCTCTTAGTCATTTGCGCTTGTTAACTCAAAGTCGAGATGTTCAGGCAACTAGTCTCCCCCCCCCCATTGATCTTGATCAATTGGGGGGGGGGGGGGGGGGCTAGTTGGACCTGGTTCCTATGTATGCGCACTGTCGACACTCGACCATTTTGGACGAGCCTAACCCGTCACCCCGGAGTTGTCCTCCAAACTGTTCAGGACGAGTGCAGCTCATCTGAGGCCAGATTCATAAAAACCTCTTACCTACGACAACTTAGCTACGAAGTTCGTAAAGTTGCGATCATCGTAAGATGAGGCGAGAACTGTATTCACAAACGCGTTCTTAAGTAAGAGGAGGAAAGTTACGACCTCTTACGGAGAAACGATGACTTCCGGTGCTGTTGCTATCGCAACGGCGTCTTCGGCAAAACGAACAACCAAGTAGAGAGCTAGGCATAGTTCGGAGTACTTGGATTGTTAATAACAAACACAGGCTAACCACTCGTTGATAGACAGCTCTGTGTATGTCCTGTCCCGTCTGTGTGTAAATGTGTAGTGTTCAAGCTGATTCTCATAAACACGGGAGACCTTTCCACCACCCCTTGTCTGGGGTTCGTGTCCGGGCAGTGGTATATCGACGCTAACACGATTTAAAAGCTTCGTTGACTGCTACAAACTCGATCGCTACGAAGTAAACACAACTGTCATCGTTGGTAAAAGCCCCGTGCCAGTCGTTTGCAAAGCGACGTAGAAGGAAACAAACCGCCGCGGCGTTTCTCGCGGCCTCGGAAATTCAGGAGCGAGCCGACGTTAAAAAAGATACGTTTGAACTACGAGAGTGTCAGCAAGAGTCACGCACATACCTCTTCACACTCGGAGCGGACGCATGCGTTTGATCGAAGTGCTGGATTCAGACTGCGTTTCGGTAAGCGCTTCGGGACCGATCTTCTACGATTGCAACTCGATATTGACGTGACACTCGGCAAAGAAAGGTTGGACCGGCATCGCGTAGCTCCCACACACTGATATACAGCTCGACAGTTAAAAATGGCATACTAATAAGGAAGTGTACATACCGTGTTGCGAAGGTAATCCATACGGCGTTTATTTGAGCTCTATACCACACAAAACAAGGAGATAGAATCGAGAAGTCCCTTTTCGACGAGAGTGTTCGTCACCGCTGCCTCGGAAAACAAGGTGATCGAGATGACAAGGGGAATCGGTTAACCTCTGAAATTTAGTTCAGCTATCAAACGGGAGGGTCCACAAGGGTCGCGCGGGCATATTCTATTCAGCAAGCCAGCCGGTCGTGGGCAGACGGTCTTGGCCAAGGACCGTCTGAGCAATGCTGCGCCGGAACGGGTCGGAGTGCCTGCTAGGCCTATATATTCTGCCGAGCTCGCTTGGTCCAAGGCGCTGTAGCCCTAGCGCTGTAGTCTTAGCTTTCGACAAATCAACGGAGAAACTTGATGTTCACGTCCGTCACTGGAATCCGCCGCGAAAAGAATTGACTCGTAATTTTAACGGGCTTCGCACTGGTGATTTGGTTCGGGAAAGAGTTTGTTCATTATTCCGGGTGCCACAGCCCAAGCTCGCTGTCTTGTTAATCTCTGCCTGTAGAACGTCGGAACCCGCCCCTGATCGACCGAAATGTGAGCTTTTCTACCCATTAAGATAGTCGCGTGAACTATTGAAAGCTTTCGACACCGTGCATGATCACCACGAAGGCCGATAGAGACGTCGTAAGCTTGATTGCGTAGCCAACGCACTACCGCGGAGAGGGCAGGGTACCTGCGCTAGCTCGACCTGTAACGTTTACTACTAATAAAATAAATAAAGGGAACAATACCCAAGGAATGAAGTGTACGTACCAGACACTGCATAGGTAATCCACATGGCGTTTATTTGAGCTTAATGTCAAACAAACAGTAGACTCGATCGACGAGCGAGTGACGAGAGGAGAGTCCAAACACATTCCCCGCACCACGATCCACCCCACCGCTCACAACTTCGAAAATGATAAGAGCGAACAACAACGAGGGGGAAAACTGGCCCTCTATCCCGAAAACAAGGTCACCTATTCATGCGGGAAGGGTCCACTTCGAAGAAAAGGTCGGGGGCATCCTGTTCTGAGTCAGCAAGGCGCGCCTAGCTGGGCTTTGCTTGTGGGCGAAGTCGAAGGAATCACACGCGAGTTTGGCGGGTCCATGCTTCTTTTTTCGCTGCCTGCGAAAATTCGCTGCGTGCGAACATCCCGGAGAAAAATATTCCGAGTGCCAAAATAGCAAAACTTTGGCTTTGGATCTTGAATTAAAGTGGATTTTGGATTGTAAAACAGGGTTGCCAAACGCAAGCCTCAAAAGATCACGCGTGATCGCCGAGAAACCGCCAACCGCCTCTCGGTGTGTCTGAACGGGGTCGCTCGCGAACCGCATCCGCTTCCAGTGTGAATCGCTCCACCGACGTTTCTCTTGCCCCGGCGTATGTTCCCCTGCTTTCCGCCTCCTTTTCCTCCTCTCCTGTTTTCCATGCGCGGCGACGCGCGCGGCGCCGCTATTCGCCAAATTTAGTCACGTGAGGAGCAAAGCATCCAGCTCGTGCGGGAAAGGCGGCGCTACGGCCACGCGCCGAGGCTGAATGCGCAACTCTGCTACCGTAGGTAGCTATACAGGAACTCTAGTTCCGCTGGTCTGTCAGCGACCCCCGCCTGCTGGCCCTGGAGGCTCCCCTGGTCCAGGTGGGTTCGGCACCAAGCACCGGCGAGCTGAGTCGGGTGGTGCACGCTTGGATTGGAGTGCGAGTTGTCTCGTGGGCTGTTTACTAGTCTCGCTGGTATCGCTAGGTTGTGAAGATCATACGCTGGACCGTGAATTTGTAAACATTGGAAAGATGTATTTACTTCGCGGGAGTTTTGTGAGAGCAAAGGACTACCAATGCGCACAGGCAAGAAGTTAGCGTGGTGCGAATATGGGTGATACCCTTCATCATAGAAAACAGCACGGAAAAAACTACGAGGACGTAGAAGAAACACACGAGATGTCCTTGTCGTTTTTTGTCGCGCTGTTTTCCAAAAGGAAGGGTATCACCCACGCTTGCACCGTGCCAACTTCTTGCCTGTGTGCATTGGTGGTCCTTTACTCCCGCCAAACTCGCGCAAAGTAAAAAATACAGTCGTAGTTGATTGTTCTGATGCCTCAGAGAACAATATGATGCATGCTTAAAGGGGAACTCCGCCGATTTCTTCATGGTCCCCGATTTGCTTGAGATTTTGCTAAACTCGCCAAACAACATCGCCAAAATAGTATCCCAAATATTAGGTCAAAATAATTTTTTTTCACGAAGTTATTGAATTTACAATTTTGGTCCTCACCGTGTTTTTCAAACTGAAAGTCTCTACTGGCAACAATGGAAGAGTGACGTCATTGGAAGTGCAGGGGTTCACTCTTTGGACTGTAGAATTTTTTCCCAACTGATTTGAAGCAGTTTCATGGTGTCAAATGAATGCTTTGGAAGCTCGCTCCAGTCCCCGCGCTCCATCACGGAACAAATGATTGACATATTCTATTTTTTAGACTGCTCGCCCGACTGGCAAGCTGACCTTCCAATGACGTCACGGCCCTGAAAAGGGCGGGAATATTTGAATGTTTGTTTTTGCATGATTTTCATTTGCCGATTTCGCAATAACTATTATGAATTTCACGATACTAAATAGCATACCAGAAAGGGTAAAGGCCGGGGAGTCAGAAAATATAGTTAGTTGAGGTAGCTCAAAAATCGGCGGAGTACCCCTTTAAAGGCGTCGGCGAAGTATCGGGTATTGCTATCGGAGTCATTGGAATAATCTACTAAAACTTTGTGGGAACCACGTGTTCCCCGCATCCCTATCTAGGCCTAGCTCTCACAGGCCGTGGGGTGTCGCCACGTGGGGGCGCGTCCCGGATGCGAGGGCGAAGCTGTATTCCCTGGTGGACGGCTTTCCCTCGCCCTTCTCAGGTGATTTGCCTCAGCACACCCCTCGGGATCATGACTTGGACGCGTCCGCCCCTCCGGGGAGCCACCTACATCCTACCTACCCCGGGCGCGTCCATTCTCGCCGGCTATATAAGACGGCCCTAATCCAACGGGCAGGACTCTCGCTGGGGGAGGCTCTGCTCGACGGAGCCTTCATATCCTTATCTGATCCTCCCCCTCCGTGATACTGTCAATAGCGGCAGCGCGGACTCCGACTGGCAATCCTGTCAAAAGAGACAGCACCGTCATCTCCACCATTGTTGGCCTTCGGGCAAGCGTGTGGCATCTAAGTCGAATAAACATGTCTTTTTCCGGACCCAAGGAACCTTCTGTGTCTCTAAGTGGTACCCACATAAAAGGGGAAATCCACATCATAAAAGGGGTATTTGCAGAGTTAGAGATGCGAATAAAACTCCTTCGGTGAACTGACATCTGTGTGGTTGTCCTCTAAAAATTAGTAGGACATAGTTATAACTCACTGTGGTGCACCCACCAGAAGTAGTTTGCGTCTATTTCTAAGGTAGAGTATTTAGGCCAACTTTTAAACATATACTACAAAGGAAAGTACCAAACAAGCGAGGAGCTCCGTTCGTGAATATTCATTTCGAAGCACTATACTTTATAAACTGGGAAAATTAAACACATAAGAAGCTTTTTCAATAGGGTGACGAATTGTCCTATGACGAAGTGCCCTATGACTAATTGCCCTATGCGACAAAGTGCCCTGCTACGAATTGTCTTTCGACGAACGGTCCTACAGCCTATATATATATATATATATATATATATATACCTTTTCTGTGTACTCTCGTCCCCAGCCACCTAACAGGCGTATCCGGTATGGGCGACGAAAAAATAATCCAACGTTTCAACCTGCAAATAGTAAAAAAATAAAGGGGAGGCAAAACGAGTAAGTGTGACGGTTACGCTTATATCTTAAATGCCTTCTATTGGCGGGGCAAAGGCAAAACAATGTTTTCGCCCATACTGGAAGTGACGTCAATTCAAGATGGCGGCGCACTTTCAGAAAAGGTCTATATATATAGATAGATATGGGCGGTTTCATTTGGATTCACGCAAGGAGGTCTAGTCGTATTTTTTTATTTTGCTTAAACTTTTATATTTCGTGGCGCATGTTCCAAGAAGAACAATCCTTTTTATTTTAATGTTCTGACTCGCTTAGTTTCTGAGAAAATAAATCTCAAAGAAGCGGGAAAGAACTATGAGATTTTGACGATTGTCGTGTGTGGCGTTTTTGAATCATTCTCAATTTCAAAGTATTCAAATGAGAGCGTCTATATTTTTTTATTGTGATATATATGCAGGAACGTACGACGCCATAATAACTACTATTTAATATTTGTCGCTCCAATTTTTGTAAAAATCCCGAAACATGCCTCCACGAACAGCTGTGACCTAAACTGCGGATTTCATTCTTCTTCAGTCGACTATGTTTAGTATCGCTTTCGAAATAATACCACGTCTATAACCTTTCAATGCCTT